CTGCAAAGGAGGCCGCCTTGCCACGTATTTCACTGTGCTCGATGCTTCAGTCGCTCAGACATCCTGCCTCTGTAGCTGGCAAGTGCAGAAAGAGGGCTCATGCAACGGGCCGGATTTATGAGAAATCCAATTTTGCCGTACCTGCACTAGCTTGGCCTGCCTTGGCAGTATAATGTTTATTAAAATGACAACAACAAAATACATGAGCAGAATTAAACGGCAGAAGGCTACATTGCGGCACTGCCACACACATCATGCTGTTTTCGCTGAAGAAAAACTGTCTGAGGTATGTAATGCTTCTTCACAGAAGATAACGGTGACACCAGTCTGCTAAATTTAGTTCAACGTTGTTCCTGTTCAGTTTAATGTGTGTTCTAGATTCTTTGGGAACACTCACCATGTCAGATTCATCACAGGTGCACGGTTAAAGGAGAACACTGTAGCACTCCCTTTCAAGAGACGCTGCCACAGAGAAGGTTGTGACGTAGGCTCCTATTTGCCAAGCACTCGTCCAGGATTTAAACCTGGGACATCTCGCACCCTAAGCGAGAATCATAACCCTAGAAGAACGAGCCACCACGAGCATGATTCTGGAGTCCCCCCAGCCTTTTATTTCACCGTGCTTGATTTACGGATATTGCTCAAAAAAGAGACATTTGGGCACACTCACCATGTCAGATGCATCACAGGTGCACGGTTAAACCAGGGACCTTTAGTCTAACGCTACCCCAACTGAGCTATTTCAGCCTTAGTGTACTAATCTGTAACTGATTGAGTGACCCACTCAACGCAAGGCGAGCAGTAAGTAAGAGACCAAGTAGAAGGACAAGACATCGACGTTGAAAGACAAGTACCTAACAATGCAGTGCAATTGAGCCAAAGAAAGCAGGATGACAAGAGACTCCAAAGAGACTCTTGTCATCTTGTCAAAAAAAGCGGTTTCAAAGCTGCAGGTGGGCTTGTCCAGGATTTGAACCCGGGACCTCTCACACCCGAAGCGAGAATCATACCCCTAAACCAACGAGCCAGTGAATGCTACTGCAACTAGCAAATGCAAAATGAAGGCTCACAGAGTTGTGAAGCTTTCTGAGAAACTCCTTTCTGCCGTACCGACACTGGCTTGGGCTGCCTTGGATTTGAACCTGGCACCTCTCACACCCTAAGCGAAAATCATACCCCTAGAACAACAAGCCATGGCGTGCATGAAACTGGAGTCCCCCTCAGCCATTTATTTGTGCTTGATCTACGGCTAATGCTAAAAAAAAAGAGGCTCCAAAGCAGGCTTGTCCGGGATTTGAAACAAGGACTTCTTGCACCCTAAGCAAAAATCATACCCCTAGACCAATGAGCCACTGGGACTCCTGCAATGGAGGCCACCTGGCCACGTATTTCACTGTGCTCGATGCTTCAGTCGCTCAGACATCCTGCCTGTGTAGCTGACAAGTGCAGAAAGAGGGCTCCTGCAACTGGGCGGATTTCTGAGAAACTCGATTTTGCCGTACCTGCACTAGGTTGGCCTGCCTTCAAAGTATAATGCATATTAAAATGTCAACAACAAAATACATGAGCTGAATTAAATGGCAGAAGGCTACATTGCGGCACTGCCACACACATGCAGTTTTCTCTGAAGAAAAACTATCTGAGGTCTGTAATGCTTCTTCACAGAAGGTAACGGTGACACCAGTCTGCTAAATTTAGTTCAACGTTGTTCCTGTTCAGTTTAATGTGTGTTCTAGATACTTTGGGCACACTCACCATGTCACGCATCACAGGTGCACGGTTAAAGAAGGCCACTGTAGCACTCCCTTTCAAGAACACTGCCACAGAGAAGGTTGTGACGTAGGCTCCTCTTGGCCAAGCACTGTCAGTCAAAACCTTGCAGGTTCCACCGAGATTTGAACTCGGATCACTGGAATCAGAGTACAGAGTGCTAACCGTTTCACCATTGGAACCAAGCAGCAGCTGGGGCGTCGGCTCTTCTGTTTGCAGTGTTGAAATGACTCAGAAGGAGGCACTGAGAAAAGCAAATGACCCGCGAGCATCAGAATGGTGTCCAAAAAGCACTCCCAGCCAAAACCCGAGATCAAACCAGGGACCTTTAGATCTTCAGTCTAACGCTCTCCTAACTGAGCTATTTCAGCCTTAGTGTGCTAATCTGTAATCTACTGAGTGACCCACTCAACGCAACGCGAGCAGTAGGTAAGAGACTTAGTAGAAGGACAAGACATCGAAGTTGAAAGACAAGTATCTAACAATGCAGTGCAATTGAGCCAAAGAAAGCAGGACGACAGCCGCTCCTAGAAAAAAACAGCGGTTTCAAAGCTGCAGGTGGGCTCGTCCAGGATTTGAACCCAGGACCTCTCACACCCAAAGCGAGAATCATACCCCTAGACCAACGAGCCAGAGGATGCGCCCTCAACTAGCAAATGCAAAATGAAGGCTCACAGGGTTGTGACGCTTTCTGAGAAACTCCTTTCTGCCGTACCTTCACTGGCTTGGGCTGCTTTCCCAAACCAATATTGAGAAAAACGGCAAGGCAAAGGACACGAGGCTCGACTCATCTGCAGACGGCTACCCTGCAGCGCAGCCCATCTGAGCCATCTCAGAAACGACACCACATTGCAATGCAAGCACTCTAACCAAACGAGCTAAGTGGTCGACCAAGTTTATCTTGCAGACGAGGAACAAAGAAGAACAGCGAGATGCGGGCTTGAATATGCGCAGAAGCAGCACTAGTCTTACTTGACGGAGGCTTGCGATTGGCCCAGAGAAATCAGCAAGGATGTATACTGCTCAAGAAAAGATGCACCAAAGATAGAGGCGGAATTTGAAGCTCAAGAAAAGAGGCACCAAAGACAGAGGCGGGCTCGTCCAAAATTTGAACCTGGGACCTCTGCACCCTAAGTGAGAATCATAACCCTAGAAGAACGAGCCACCACGTGTATGATTCTGGAGTCCCCCCCAGCCATTTATTTCACCGTGCTTGATTTACAGATATTGCTCAAAAAAGAGACTCCGAAGTGGGCTCGTCTGGGATTTGAACCCAGGACCTCTCACACCCTAAGTGAGAATCATTCTTCTAGAACAATGAGCCATGGCGTGCATGAAACTGGAGTCCCCCTCAGCCATTTATTCCACCGTGCTTGATCTATGGATAATGCTAAAAAAAAAAAGAGGCTCCGAAGCGGGTTCATCCGGGATTTGAAACAAGGACCTCTCGCACCCTGAGCAAGAGTCATACCCCTAGACCAACGAGTCACTGAGACTTCTGCAATGGAGGCCACCTGGCCACGTATTTCACTGTGCTCGATGCTTCAGTCGCTCAGACATCCTGCCTCTGTAGCTGGCAAGTGCACAAAGAGGGCTCATGCAACTGGCCAGATTTCTGAGAAACTCGATTTTGCCATACCTGCGCTAGCTTGGCCTGCCTTCACAGTATAATGTTGATTAAAATGTCAACAAAAAAATACATGAGCTGAATTAAATGGCAGAAGGCTACATTGCGGCACTGCCACACACATCATGCTGTTTTCGCTGAAGAGAAACTGTCTGAGGCCTGTAAAGGCCTGAAGAACTCCCTGCTCCACTCTGCCGAAACCCGGGATTGAAACAGGGTCCTTTAGATCTTCAGTCGAACCACTAGATTTTAGCAGAGATAGGAGGAGGCTGAGATTTTAATAGAGTCATGAGAGGAACATGCCGCTAAAGGAATTTTCAAAGAAATGTTTACCTGCAAGATCATGCTTATTGTGTTCTACCAAATATCTTTTGAATCCATTTTATTATTTACAGATGTAGTGGGTCGAGAAGTGGGTATGATATCACTTATTAGTCGCCACACCCCTTGTATGGTTCATCCAATTCTATGCCCTCCAGGAACGTGTAAAAGCGGAACGTTACGGCATTGCTGGGAGCCTGGGTACCATTTGTGTCGTTCTGTCCGAGGACCGTCCCTTCCGGTTGGCGAATGTTTCCTTTGCTCCTGTGAAGTTGGACGTGGTGGTTGGCTAGCGGCTGCTGCCTTTTATAGCGGACTTCCCATAGTTTATTCATCGATTGGTCACTGCTCATTATCTGCGTGGATTCATGATGGATTCATAATTGTAGTACAATATCAAGGTAAGGGAAATCAGGGTAGCTTGGTTATCGCGCATTGAGTAGCTGGTGTGTTTTAATGTTTACCCCCTTGCAGTCCTGTTCTGTGGCGTGGCGATGCCTCTTGTTGTTGCGTGATCGCTTTGTTAGATCAAATGCTGTGGCCGTAAACAGAAGGTATGTGAACTACGTTTTCTGATGTTTATTGTTTTTTTTATATAGTTCATAGTGTAATCGTTTCATGTTTTTATTTTTAGGAGTAATTGACATTTTAAATTTAAACTTGTGGGGCAACATTCGGATGCTGCTGTCTTGTCCGCACTATATCATCTGGGCCTGCACTACGTTTGGAGCCTGTCTTATTCGTGTGTGTGCGCGTTGCTTTGGCTGGAGTTCTTACGGCTTGCATCCGCCTTGTGTGTGTGTGTGTGTGTGTGTGTGTGTGTGTGCATTTTGATTGTAGTTTATATTTTGTTTTTTTGTTTGATTACAACTGCGTTTGTGTAAGTTATGCTGTCTTGCCTGCCTCTGCTAACCTTGCCCTCCTGTTTATTGTACGCAAGTGTGTGTAGTGTTCATGTCATGCAGTCTTTTAGTTTTTATTACTGATTGCACTAAATGAAGTTTTGCATTTTTGATATCCACGTCTTGGGCCCTCTTTGCACTAGTGAACCTGTGTGCTCCTTTGTGGGTAATTGTTAGTTCCCTGGTAACAGGGTGGCGTAGTCTGCTACATCGAGATTGCTGAAATTTTCCCTTTACCATATCGCCACACAAATATCCTTTCAAATCTGTTCATGTAAACTACCACACTAGTATACGTGAACAACAACACAGACAAAAGCTTTTTTTTTTTTTTATTTAATGACATTTTCACTTTTATTTGAAATCACATTTTCTAGAAAAAGCTTTAATTTAAATGCATTTAAACAAATACAAATGTGCAATGTACAGCTCAGTCACACTCATTGTACAACACAGTCATTGTCTAGAAATTATTTTAGCATTATAGAGGGTTTTCTGCTTATATTCTGAGGCAATAAAATAGATAAAACAAAATGTACAAATTATGGTTATCATTGAATTTGTATAATGCATCAGCTTGTGAGAATGATCTACTTGGAAATACAGTTATTAATCGTCATGAAAACTAGGTTAAATGTTAAATGATTAATATATTCAGTTGAATTCTCCTAACACCTTTCTATATATTGTTATTTTCCCCCCAGTTTCACCAGAGTCCACTGGAATCTATTTAAAGACAGGTATCCACAATAAAAATTAAACCAGCTGAATATCATTTTAAATTCTTTAACTATGATAAATAAAAACAAAATCATGATTTCACATCCTCATAAGTTTAGCCCATAGTGTGGATGAAGGTCTTGTGCACCTCTCTGTAAGCGTTTCTTAGGAGTACATATGGAAAACACATTTCCAGCATGTCTTGACTCAAGAACGGTGACTGCTCCACTATCTACAATCCAAAGAATACAAAGGTAAGATTTGTATAATAAACTTTTTAAAATTCTAATAATTATATTACTCTCCAAAAGTTTATTACCATGTGTAGAAGGAGATAAACTGAATCTCTGTTCTTTATTTCCACTCGCTCCACATTCTGACCTAACTGCAGTAAGATAGATGATGCCACCTACAAGATGAGCGTAATCAGATATATTAGATAAAAGATTTTGGTAAGACTATACAATAAGTTCAGATGAATGATTAGTGCATTAACTAACACTAACTAACAATTATCAATATATTTGTTACAGTATTTACTAATCTTTGTTAACATTAGTTAATAAAAATACAAATGTATTTACTGTTGGTTCATGTTAGCCCAGGTCCTAATATTAATAATACTAATATTAACAACATTTCTTTTTAATAATGTATTGGTAAATGATGAAATTAACATTAACTGAGATTAACACATGCTTTAAAACAATTTTTAATTGTTGGTTCATGTTAACAAATATAGTTGACTAACATTAACAAATTGAACCTTATTGTGAAGCGTTACTAAGATTTTTAGTAAATGTTTGCTATGGATTTTTTAATGTCAGTGTATGGAATGAAAAATATTGAATTCTTGCTGTGCATTCAATGGTGTATCATTCACCTTCAGGAATTCTTGAAGCTGAGTCTGGATATTTTTTCTCTGGACAGTGAACATAGCTGCAGCAAGATGGTTAACTGCAGTTGCCAAGCAATGAATGTTGTTTTGGTGACCTGTTGAAAAACAAGTCAAGTTCATTTGAGTTTCAGAAATAGTTAAGCAAAATACATCTTAAAAGATTTGCATTTACGGTAAATATTGGGCTTGTATATATGGTCTGTCAGAAAGCTATGATGAGGCTGGTTATGGTGAACAAAGCACTGATATTTTAGTAATACACAGAAAATTGGAGCTCATGTTAAGCAAGGTTAAGTCTGTTTCCTTTTATATAAGTCAATATACATCAGTCATAAAGTTTTTGCTCCAGCTAAGCAAGTGAAGACATTCTGGAGTTTATCTACATTCAGTGATAATCTGCTCATTGCACTGTTTGTTTTTGTTAGCTTGTTGTAAGACTGCTTTTGCATTGCCCCTTATGCAACTCCTGCTCTTCTGCCCAACGTTACCTCCATGTTCTCGGCTGTAGAATGAGTTTGGATCCAGGCACAGGGTGGGTAAAGACACGGCTATAAAAACAAGCAGCAGGCAGGTGATTTTGAACTCCTCCTCAATGGATGAGTTGTCTGGCAAGGAGAATAATGAATAATATATTGGAAAAATTTGATTAACTAGAGATGTCATTCCAGATAGGCAAACTTCTATATCAGGACTTCACCTGTCTGCATGTTTGCTATGGCTGAAACCAGCGCAGGGTCGATCTCACATGGCAAACCAGCTGCCGAAGCCATTTCATACACACCGAGTGTCACCTACACGTAAAAAAACAAAAAAAAACAATCCAAAACTAGAAAAGTCTTGAAATTAGGTATTTCTTGTGATGACGAAAAAAGCAACATGTAAATGTTAAATAAAAGCACTTAATTTGTCACACATTTCTGTCAAGTCAAATCACATTTATTTATGAAGTGCTTTATCCAATACTCATAGTTTCAAAGCAGCTTCACAATAAACAGGAAACACCAATATTAATGTTGTAAAATTAATCAGTTATGAAACTTAACTATGAAACTTTAATTTCTGCTTGAATTTTTAATATTTGGCATGTTTGTGTGCTGCTGCCCTGTGTGTGTAATAAGCAGAGTGTAGGCGCTTTGTGCCCCCGCCTATAGGTGCATATTACTAACGCGCTCTTTAAATAACAAAAAAACTACTGCGCCATTGAATTTAGACCAGATTTTAGTTGGTCAATGGTGCAGTCTATTTCAGTTGGCTCAAAATAGCAACGCACCAACAATGCGCCTGAACACACCTCATTTTCAGACCAGCACACCCATGGGCACACAAATGGGCGCAAATGCATTTGCTATTTAAACAACGTGGTGCAGGATATGAAAATGATAACTGCGTCAGGCTGAAACTAGCAAAAAACACTTGCGTCGCGCCTGACGCCGCATTGCGCCAGGTGTATGATAGAGCCCACACAGTTCAAAGTTTTGCGTTTACTCTTTCTCTCTTCCCTACAGACAGATACAAGCTAAATGAAGAAATGTTATTCCAGTAGCAGTGACTCAGTGATTTACCTTGATGTCACCGTCAGGGTAGATGAAGTCCTTTAGACATTTGATGGGTCTCATTAGAAACGGGCAGTGTCTGTCCATGATCTACAGATGGAAACGATCAGTAGACTTACGTCCTGTGCTCACTCATAAACCAGGCAGTACATTCTAACATGTAAAAACTGTTATGCATTTATTATGATTTACAGCGGGTAAAATATGTATTGAACACATCACCATTTTTCTCAGTAAAAATATTTCTAAAGGTGCTGTTGACATGAAATTTTCACCAGATGTTGGTAACAATCCAAGTAATCCATACAAAGAAAGCAAAGAAATTAAGTTCTGTGTAATAAAGTAGAATGACACAGGGAAAAAGTACTGAACACATGAAGAAAGGGAGGTGCAAAAAGGCATGGAAAGCCAAGACACCAGCTGAAATCTATTAGTAATTAGAAAGCAATCCTGCCCCTTGTCGGTGGAAATAAATATTAGTTGGTTCAGTCCCAACTGATGGCCTAGAAAAAGGTGTCTCATGACCAACGTGTCACACAAGGAACATTTCATGATGGGTGAAAGCAAATAGCTTTCTCAAGACCTTCGCAACCTTATTGTTACAAAACATACTGATGGCATTGGTTACAGAAGGATTTCTATACTTCTGAATGTTCCAGTGAGCACTGTTGGGCCCATAATCTGGAAGTGGAAAGAACATCATTTCACCATAAACTGGCCACGACCAGGAGCTCCTCGCAAGATGTCTGACAGAGGAGTGAAAAGAATTATCAGAAGAGTTGTCCAAGGGCCAAGGATCACTTGTGGAGAGCTTTAGAAAGACCTGGAATTAGCATGTACAATTGTTTCAAAGAAAATAATAAGTACAATAAGTAATGCACTCAACCGCCGTGGCCTGTATGCACACTCACCGCGCAAGGCTGTATTGCTGAAGAAAAAACATGTTGAAACTCGTCTAAATTTGCTGCTCAACATTTAGACAAGCCTGCTAAATACTGGGAGAATATAGTCTGGTCAGATGAGACAAACATTGTACTCTTTGGATGCCATAATACACACCATGTTTGGAGGTCAAATGGCAC